TTGCACAACGACGCGTTTTGCACATACCCGGTCGAGACCCAAAATACCCAACCGGGTATTTTGACCGGGTATCGCGACAGGCAACTTTTTAAAGGAAAAGAAGGATCAAAATCAAGGGTTCCGAGTTTTAGAGAGACAGAGCGATTCCTAGAGAGAGAAAGCGACGAACCAGAGTTCCCAAGTGCCCTAGCTTGATCTTCATCACCATTGGAGCCCGGCTTGAGCTTGGAGAAGTGTCGATCGACGACCAGGAGCAGAAACTCATTCTTCACAGTATGATTTCCGCGTATGAATCTGCTTTTGCTTCTATCTCCATGGAGTAGTTTTCCCATTCATCTGGGTATGGAGAACCCTAGATTTGTATGTTAGGTCTGATTGTATGAACCCAAGTACATATTTTATGATTTGATTATATTCGATTGAGGCTTGAATGATTGAATGACTTGAATCCTGATCAAATTCCTGTTGTTTCTGCTTTAACCTAGAAAGAGAATATCTGCCTAGGTTGATAGAGCACCCTTAATTGAAGGTAGTGAATTGGCGACTTTAGTCGAGGAGCCAATTCACTATTCTGTACTGAATTTACTTCAGTAGTGGAGGTTTGGTTCGTTAGGGCCTCAATCTGTTTACTCCGGTGGAGGTTAGTCGCCCGCTAGAGACTCAGATTGAGAGGGTCTGGAGACCTTTAGTCGAGACTTCAGACTGTTTAAGAACCTCCCGCAGTATAACTATCATTAAAACTGAACTTGGTAAATTGCAATCCGGCTTAAGTGCAGTCTAGGGGAACCATATCTGGGTGACCTCTCTCGACTTGAAAATAACTGTTTAACTTGCTTTGTTTGTTTGTTAATTTGGACCTGCACTAAAGTTTCACTGCTAGATAATAAGAATTCACTGAGTAGTCATCACATCTAGGACCCGGGTTGATATTAAAACCCAAACCCGCTATACTACGCTTTAGGAAGTGGTTACACTTGGCCAATTTCTAGAGTGACAGTAGGAGTGAGTCACCCACCAGATAACCACTTATTCTGAAACATAGTACGAAGTCTAACTGAAGTTGGATGTCCCAAACAAAAATGCCACAAATCCTAGTTTGACAATTTGACAGAAACCCAGAAAAATAAGAAATACTACTACTGGACCCGCTTCTTCCTACTGAACATTCATCTTGGCCTTCCTCTGGGTTCAAGTCCGACCGCCCTGCCAGCGAAAGCTTCTTCGCACGCTCGCCAACCTTCCCAGCACCAGAACGAGAATAGTGATTCAGCAAAAAGACTCGGCCCTGCTTACTCCCTCTCCCTAGTTCCTGGCCCATCCTCATGGCCTGCACAGTGCACCCCGAATCATCAAATATCACCCGACAACCCTCTTCTGCCAACTGACCCGCAGATACAAGACTAGGCACAAGTTTAGGGACAAAAAACGTATTAGGCAGAGATATATGAGGCTGAATAGCATGACCCACACCAGCAACAGCCATTCTAGACCCATTTGCAGCCTGCAATTCTAAATGTGTACGAGACTGGTCCAGCCGACTAAACACCCGAGGAGAACTCGTCATGTGATTATATGCTGCAGAATCTATATGTCAAGGAGAAGAGGAAGAAGAAGTCGTACCCGTCGAGAAGGCTGAAGTTAAGGTGGTAGGCAGAGCATCCTTTAATGCCTCTTGCACGAGACGATGAACATCCTCTGAGGTTAAGGGAGCAGTCGAGCAATCCCAGGATCAACCAAACCCAAGAGAGCAGACATCACCACCGCATTGTGCGCTGCCCAATCCGCTCTCTCCTTCTTAGGTGCATCGGCAACCGGCGCCTTAGACGAGTCGTCAAGGATGTGGAGTAGTCGACGGCCTTGAATATGTATGCGGAATTGAAATTCCCAGAGTGCAAAGTTCTTACTCGTGAACTTGACGGAAATCGGATCCACCTTAGAGCCATCCATGATGGTCACGTAGCAAGAGAGAAACCTTCAATAAATAGAATAAAAGCAGACAAGTACCCAGCAGCAACGAATGGCACGAGAACACAAAATACAAGTACCCAGCAGCAACGATGGACACGAGAAGACAAGTACCTAGCAGCAACGATTGGCACGAGAACACAAAAGACAAGTACCCAGTAGCAACGATGTGCACGAGAACACAAAAGCAACCTCTCCCACAATCAAGCCACCTACAGACGATAAGCAAGAGCTGCACAACCAGATCGGCGCAATAGTCCCTCAACGACGAAGAAACACGATCGCAAGAAGTCACCACAACACGAATAACTCAAACGCGAAAAACGAGGGGCTCTGATAACATGTCAATTTGCACAAACGCTAGTGCGAGAATCACACGAACACACGGGATTACGTGGTTTCCTCAACGATGATCGTTGAGACGAGTCCACGGCACTACGGCAGAGTATCTTATTATCGCCAATATTAGGGCTGGGAAACGGTGCGGTCTGGTCTAGACCAGACCATATATACGGTCTATGGTCCAGACCGAGAGACTGAAGTATAGACCACAGACCAGACCACAAACTATACGGTCCGGTCCAGACCACACCTGTGCGGTCTAGTTTGGTTCAGATAGACCACACTCAACGAAAAATTAATAATTTGTTTAATAAACCACACGAAAAATTGAACCAATAACCAAGAAAAATAATTGGTATTTTCCTTAACACATTAATCCTAACATGCATGAATAATTTAGATACCCTAAATCTTAGTACATAAAAAAGATACAAAGTAAAAGCATCCCAACTTGGACCATAACGTCATAAACATTAACATAATGTCGTATGGAGACACAATTATTTCTACTCTCTGGTTAAATGTGGTTGTGAATGAAAGAGGGACGAGATTCCCAAAACTAAAGTTGAGACTTGGGTGTCGTTGTGTGAGTTGGGAGAGTGGTCGAATGGGCTGTTAACACGTATTGACAAGTCAGTTGGGTCCACGGTTTGGTCCGGTAAACCGCGGTCTAGACCAGACCAGACCAAGAGATCAAAATATAAAATAATACAGACCATGGACCAGACCAGACCATACTTAACGGTCTACGGTCCGGACCAAACTGTGCGGTACGGTTTGAACCACGATTTTTCTAACGGTCTGGTCTATTTTTCTAGCCCTAGCCAATATTATGTACACAGCCAGCCATACACGCACGCATATATACAAGCCACTAACCCTAATTTGGACAATTACAAAATGGTACTCAAACTTCTAACAGACGTCTTGTGGCAAAGCTACGATTTATTACGTACGCGGATCGATTAGCTACAACATAACTTGAGTTCGAAGGAAACTTTGGTTCGAGATTATTATCGAGCCTAGGTCGTATTTGCTTGGCTGGATAAGGCGGTACCGAGGGTCGTGCTCCGGGTCGACCGACGAGACGTGTTGGGGCCTGTGTGAAAACGAGAGGAAGTAGGGGCGACGAACGAATGACAGCGCTCGCTTGCGCTAGCGGAAGGGCTACTGTCTTGGTTACTGGCTGGCAAACATGCAGAGCGCAGTAGTGCAGCTGCTTGCTTAGTCTGTTGTTGCCGCTAGCCGAGATTGGAACGGGAGGGCGAGGTCCGCTGGTGGTGGCGATGTGTTTGATGGCGGGGAGGGTCGGTGGTGGTGTTGTAGTTCGTTGGGTTTGTGGCCAGCGAGTAGAGAAGGAACAAGAGGGAATATGGTTTGCTCTTCAATTCCTCTACCACGAGATGGGAACCGAGGAAGAGAAGAAATATATTGGGAAGAAGATAACAACTTATGTTCATTCTTCCCACTATAATATTATTTGATGCCAGCTCATCAGATCTATATGAGAGACAGGGAAGGTTATAGGCTGTTGATTTTGTGGAGGAAGTAGAATAATATGATCTCTTCCAACTAGATATACATGGGCATCTCACGAATAACGTGATGGCTGTAAATGAGGGTTGGTGGGGATTAATTAAGGGTAATATAGGGGTCGTTTGGAAGTTGCGATTGTTTTGTTGAGATTGTCATTATGCATGTATTGTTTACAAATGCATCGTTTTTTTGTTTTTTTACAGAAACAATACATAGATTGTTTCTATGATGTGACAGAAACTATCACTCATTTTGAGTGATTGTTATATCTCAGCTTTTAGTTGTGATTGTTGAGATAGTTGAGTTGAGATTGTTTTGTCTTAGCTTTTAGCTGATGCGACATACACAATCACATATACCAAACGTTATATTCTACAATGCATCAAATTCGACAATACATGTATAATATTATACATGCATTCTCAACAATACATCTATTTAACAATCGCAACTTCCAAACGGAGAGTGAGGGAGAGATGGGATTGGTGTAGAGATGGTGGAGGGGGTTTATTTGGTGTGGGATTAAACGTGTGGGGTAGGGTTTTCTTTTTCCTTTTTCTTTTTTTATAACTAGAAGCGAACCCGGCCCGTGGGGCGGGTAACCTACACATAATTGTATCATTTGATAAACATTGAAATATGAACTCAATTGGAAACTTGTAATTTGTTTTGGTAACTTTAAACTAAGAATTGAAGCTAATAGTTATAAAAAAAAAAAATTGAAGCTAATAATTGTTGGATGGAAGTGTTTATGGAAGAAGCTGAAATTAAACAAACCATGACAATAGAGATCCTTAATGTTTATTATGGAAATGAATTAAAACAATTGGTTTGTAATTTTACAGAGAATAAGCAAACATCCCTAATTCGTTGGACTAATGGTTGATGAATGAGATGACAGGTAAATATTTGTCTTGGATTTAGCAAGTGGTCTGGGTTGATAACCCTCCACTTACCCTTGGTTGTTTGGTTGAGGCTGATTTGGGTCTTGGAACCTAAGTTTTAATAATATTTTCCAGGTTTCCAGTCAAAAAAAAAAAAAAAATATTTGTGTTGGATTTCATGATTTGACTAATAATATAACTCTTTATTAAATCAAACTCATTGTAATAAATATGTAATAGTTTATTTTTATTTTTAGCTCAACCCAATCCAACCCAACCAACCTTATAGGCCGGACAGAATCAGAAGTCAGATTTTTAGCTCCTCATCCGCTCCATTTCTCTCGAGAAACATATAACTCTGGAACCCACTCGAACCCTTCTTTCCTCCGTCTCCCTCCCAGATTTTTCGCTTTCATTCGGAGCTTGCAACAATGGGTTGTCGAGCGAATGTTGAAGAGGAACCCTATCAATTACGGCGTTCATTAGTTCTGGGTTGGTGTTCTTCGGTGGGTATGGAGGGTTCTGGGTTGGAAGACTGAATCGAAAAATTGGCAGCACTTTGTCCCTTGTCCAGATGCACAGATTACCTTTGGCGCAATTTCAGAGACTGTTCCAGCGACAGCCACAATTGCTAGGTTGGTTGTTTTCCACTGATAGTTGATGCATAAAATTAAATGGTTTATTAAGCTTTGCATCCATTCTGAACTGTAAAAAGACAAAACCATAACCTTTTCTTTCGAATTCGGTAGGGGGAATGTTGATTTTGGATAAATAATTGGCACTCATTGACATGGAGAAGAGGCATAGCTTTTGTAAGGCTGCTGAAAATCATAGTGGCATTCTTTCCTTATGGGCAGTCTGCGGTGGCGTTGGCATGTAAGTTTCAATCAAGCTTGCTTTTTTTTACCGATTGTTTTTTGTAGATGAAAAAGTAAAGTGTGGTAGAATAAAAGAAGGTCGAATTCTTTTGGGTAGAAGTAGAAAGAGTAAATTCAATAAGTCAACTAACAGAAACAGTTTTCACACCTAATAATATGGTAAGTCTACCAGCAAGTACAAAGAACAGCAAATTAATAATGATGTTGTTGGTTTGTTTTGTATATGGTCAGGGTACCAAGGTTCAGAATGCTTCCGGCGGAAACTAAACTCAGCGCTCTTCTAGTAGTTTTCAACTTGCCGGAAAAAGCTCTTCCAATCAGTGCACTACAATGTAAAACCTACGGAGGTACGCTATTCTGAACGATGAGCCAAATGAGAATTTGAATTTAGCCAGTTTTGGAGAATTAGTGCTTGGTTATCAGTAGGGAAGTAGGTGTGCTAAGACTTGGATGAGAAATTTCAGCAGTATGATTTTTGTTAAGTTTCTCTTCGAGTCGCAAGCTTTGCAACCTTCCTTTGTTCTAGGAAAAGATAAAATACACCCATTCCGCTTGTAAATGAGAGTTCCCTGAATATATTTATAATTCATATAACAAAATGCTAAGCACCAATATGCATTTGTTTTTTGTTGACAAAGAAAAGGATGTGGTAGCAGAACAATAGTAACAAAAAGAATTCTGGACAGAGTAAGAAACTTCCAGTAGTTTCAAACTCAAAGTAATGTGAAAACATGATGAAGACTTGGATGAGTTCAAACCTACAGGCAGTGGATGGCTTAGGAAATTAAAAATTTCTACGCACAAAGAGTTCAACATCCATAATTTTAACAAACATGAAGAAATTGTCCTTAAAAAGAAACCACGACTTACGGCCTAAATCACCCTCTACCAGAATAATTTGCAAAAAACTAAATCAAACTCATTGGTTGAAGCGTTGAAATTGCCAACTTCAACCATAAGCTTGAATAAATTGCTCCTTAGAAAAGCTAGGTGGGTCGTGAAGTTTGTCATCCAGTCTATGTCCGTCGCCTGAATTATACGACTTGTTGGGAGAAAAGCTTCCCATCAGCAATATAGTTTTCACTGTGTGTGAGCTAGTGTGTGTTGCAGCTCTCAAACTAGTCAAATCATTTATTTAGACTAAACTGTCATAAGAAGATGATTGTTGTCGATCTTAGAAAACATGGAAATGACACTTCAGTTTAGTGATTTATCCTTAAACTGTGAAATGTTGTTTGCTGAATTAGCAAGTGCAAGAGGAGCCAAAACTACTGAGAATTAGGTGAAGCTATGTGATTTGGTGTTTGGCTTGGTAAAGCTTGAAACGAGCAAACTCAGTTTAGTGATTTACTCTTAAACTGTGGAATTGTCTCGCGTTGTTGAACAAGGTTGAATGATGCAGCATGTTCTTTGCCAATCTCGATTCAAGCATAGAAATGGTCATAAGAGTGGTTAACTTAATTGGTAATAAGAATTTGGAACTAATGCTTTGACTGAGGAATGCAGGAAAGGAAACTTGCCTACTCAGGACCAAGCTGAGAAAGAAGTTAAATGGTGGTATCACTTCTCCTGGTGGTATAATGAATTGGCTATCACTACCTTGCTGCTCAAGTTAATTGGAAGTGGAAGAAGCCGGTACAGCGTCATTCCATCAAAAGAAGTAACCTTCCTTTTTGGGTGGAATCACAATTAATCAGATGCTCTCACAAAAGGAAAAGCCAACGGGAAAATGAAAAGATTGAGAAGCAAGGAGCTTACCATTTCCAAGGAGATTCATGATCACACCAACAAGGCAAGTCGATTCAAATGCAACAGCCAAAAGCTTCAATATAAAAGGAGTCTTGCAATAGCTACAGGAGGTAACTTTTCCGGGAGATCAATACTACGATAGAGAGCAAAGGGTACCTGTTGTGGGTAGTTTGATAGGAAAAGGGATTTCGGTTGACGGGGAGTTAATCGAGATTACGGTATTGGGGAGATACCTGGTTCTTGATCGACGGAGAGTTGATCAAGGGGATTGGAGTGATCAATTGGCTGGGAAGCTAATCGGGGATTTTCATTTGTACTCTGCAAGAGCTTCAAGAACATATCTCCAGTGAATCGTCAGATATTGCAAGAGAGAGATACTCTGACCGTGGATTAGTCGGTGTTGGGTTCGTTAATCACCTAACACCAGATACAACGTAAAAGTTCTGTGTCTCTGTTACTTTTGTTCTTACTCTGTTTCAGTTCTGGGTTAGCTATTACTATTGTGTTTGAAGAACTAAGGGCCCGTTTAGTATTGTTGCTTGTTTTTTGTTTCTGTTTTGTTTTATGAAATTTGGAAAACCAAGAAAAAAAATCGTGTTTAGTTGGGTTTTTATTTTCTGTTGTGAATCAGAGTTGCACAACAGGGCCCAAATATGAGAAACAACAATTTATTGCTTTGGATCTGATTCTTAAACTTGTTGCACATGGGATTCCTACTGGTTGGGCACTTGATTTCATTAAACCAGACAAGTTTTCGAATCCCCACAGAAGCAAATTTTTATTTTTATTTTTTTAACACAGCCCCCAACCCTACTTCAACTTATCAGCCGCCCCCCCCCCCCCTCCCCAAACCCTTCTCCCCCCAAACTCTTCTCAACAGAGGTCGGCCGCCACCATTCTCAACAGAGGCACCACCTCCGCCTCACCTCCACCGCGCCGCCCTCCGCCTCTGCGCCGACCCAGCCCGCCGCGCCCGACCCCTCCGCCACCTCCGCCGTGTAGCCCGCCGACCCGCCGCCGACGTCCGCCCGTGCACCTCGCCGCCGTCGCCAGTCCCCCCTGCCACCGCCGACCACTTCCCCTCCACAAAAGCCTCACTTCATCTCCCCCACAGCAGGTAACTTCAACTTCTTCAAAGTATTATGTTAATCTATACTTTCTGAATATGTTGATGAATTTGGCATGTATGTAGTGATTGCTAGATTAGTTATTTATGAATTTGGATTGATTGCTATGTTCATTGTTTTGTGGTTTACCTCAGTTATGGAGAAAATTGTTGAAAATGGTGATGAAAATGGTTCTTTGTTTTGTAGCATGTACAGTAGTAACTAAACGCGTTTTTGTTTCTTGTTGTCAGCTTTCATGATTTTTCAGATTTATCAACTAAACAGGTTTGTGTTTTCTGTTTTTTTCCTGTTGTGGTTGTACATCTGTTTACACAACACCACTGCAACCACAACAACAACAAAATGATACTAAACGGGCCCTAAAAGTACAGGGTTGTTTGATCGAAAACAAAGAGAAGAAAGAGTCTGTGACAGGTTAATAAAACAGTGAGTATTTGGTAAGGTTTGGGTTAATATTAGTTAACTTTTTTTTTGGACCAGGTGAAGTATTCTCACAGGCATAAGTGAAGACACAAGGTGGGCCTGCTTTAAGTATTGGATTCTCGGCCCGGAAAGTGCCATCTCTGCCGAAACTTGAAAACACATCAAAGGAAGTTATCCTTGCTCATTTTGGATCAAACTTCCTTGAGATTGAAATCTTCATTTGTTCTTGGTAAAAGTTTCAAGAGAAGGTTTTGCAGGTGCTAGAAACAGTACGAAAAGCACAATCAAAGGGAGAACGTCTTGCGCTCGACGCACCAACACGACTTGCTATCCAACAAAATTTGAAAGTTGTGAAAATGATAGAAGCCTCATTAGGTCCATTAGCAGCAGTCACCCGCACCTCAAATCTGAGACTCACAACTGACCAAAATACAGTCACATCCTTCACTGTTGTAGTCGTAATGTACAGCCTGTCCTGTAATAAGAACCAAAGTAATGTTTAAATCTAGCATTATGGAGGTGAAACCTAATTCTTCATTGGTGAAAGAAAGCATCAGAGACTTTGTGCAATGATCACTACTGTCGAACCCAAGCATTATGTTGTTGAATGCTATCAAAATAGGACTTTGTAGGAAAATAATCTAAGGCAAATTGACACAAAGTGCACAAAGAAGCACTTGGTTGTTGTTGTCAACCTTGTAGAGGTTAAGTTCCGGAATGGAACATATGGTGCTTATCCCCAAAGCTTTCTCAAAAGTGTAGACGATGGCTAGAAGGACATTCTCTATACTGTTTGTTAAAAAAAATCCAAGACATGGGGAAAATAATACGAATACCACTGATCATGTGTAATTAAAGCCTATATACTTATTCAGCAGGGGTGAACATGAGGATAGTGCAAGTTCTAGTATACTTTTGTTTCATTTGATCCCACACAATATTCTTCGCCTAGAACCAAGATGAAAACAAATTCAATAAGTACTAACATCAAATAAAAGCTTATCACGGAAACTTAGAATCAATAAAAGGTAAAAGAGCTTGGAAATGTCTGTCAACAACTGAAGTGAATACAACTACAGATCCTGGTTTTGGATGATTAGGCATCACAGCTTGGAATTGGCCAATTAAATCGTCCCATAAGACGATTTCTACTATATGCCCTCTAAAATAAAAAATCAGAATATTCAATGGTGAACATAAGATAAGAACATGATAAAATGTAATCGACACCAAAAACAAACAGAATTACTCAAGCAGTCTAAGATGAACACTCTTGCGCCTTAGGAGAGCAGCATCTTCGAATAAGGCATCTTCTGGTTCAATAGCTACAATCACTCCAATCAAATCTAAAGTGATACAAATGATTAGGGACTGCATAAACATCAAGCCAGCCTAATAGAGTTTTCATTGTGGTTGAGAAATACCAGGCAGATAGAAATGATCGTGAACAGCAAAGGAAAGCTCCTCAGCCTTCAAAAACTGGAAACTGTGGGTTGGTAATATCTGGTGCATTCTGTACTTCCTCCACCACTGTGTTATTGTGGAAACGGGTTCAGAGGGTGGCAGGTGCAACCCTATAATGAGCATCATATTCTTGGATGACGAAGTTGCTCAATGCATAAATTCTTCTCTCGTGAAGAATTGGATGAAAGAAATGAACATTAAGGATATCAACGGATCCTTGCGTCTCCTTTCCCTGCAAATAACAGTCAACACCAGATCAATATTTTATAGTCTACTGCCCAATCCAAAGTATCTAAGAGTCATGAATATAAAATTAGAAAACAATGATACATGGTTGTCTAGAAACAACAAATGATTTTTGTCAAGTGTGACACCATATGGCCTCGTTGTGTGCCATAAGCGAAGGAGCCTGATGCGAACAGCCTGGTCAATGAAAAAGCTGGGATAGACTGCGGAGATCCATCAGTGATACCAAACAATGAAAAAGAGCAAGTTTGTTGAATGGCAGCAAACATTTTAACTTGCTAATAGTTGGCCTTATATAGTTTTCGTAAAAAAATAAGATATGGATGTGAAAATCGCAGAAATTGTGGACAAACATGGAGATCATGGGAGGTAGGGCACTTATTACTTGTGGTGAAAATATATTTTAACATATATAGTGGCCAGTGGGTGTCCATGTTGGTTATGGAAAGTCATTTGAAAGTATTTATATTGTTGTAGTAACCCATGATCCTATTTATTGAATCTCATTATTATATCTCTAAATATAAAATAATTAGTACCCTCAGGGTTCTTATGGGAGAGGTTCTTGTATGTGTGGATTGAAGTAATTGTCTCCTGCTCCTTAAATTATATTTATTTTAGAACATTATGATTTAAGTCCGTTACTAATATTGTTTTGTTGGTTGTGTTGTAACAGGATTGTCAATTGAGCATGTTTTTACTCTACAAAAGCAGCCTCTTGCTCCCTGTTGTTAGGTAGCATATTCATTTTGATGTCGAACATTAACTGGGTAATGGTGGCAGGCATGAAGATGGGTTTCATTTGTAATACCATTGTAACTTACTAACTTGGGATTATTTGTGGGGTAAGGGGGTGCTTTGTTAATTCAATCCAGTTTTCCATACGGGTGAAAAGGTTATGCTGTCAAACTGAATACATCACCTCTGGAGAAGGAATGAAGTTAAGTTGACCTTAATTTGAAGTGGCCTTAATTCGCCAGAGGCCCATCTTGGTTATGTATATTCTTACAAATGTTGTTTTAATAGAAAAATATCTAATAATTGCAGTTCTTCAATTGGGGGAGTTTGCAGCGTTTGACGGAGTAATAAATTAATTTCAGGGGCGGGGGATGGCGACGCTACAGACCGAAGACGACACTGAAAGGGTTCTTGTCAGCAAATTTGACCGTGATGTCAGAGTTTGCTGATGTGCACGTGCATGCCTGTGTGGTGAGCTTTTCGCACCTTCATTAGTCGAGGGAATTTGGGCCCGACGCTGGCCCGACGCTGGCTCTCCAGTCTCTTCCAAGTGAGTATCATTTTGCCAAGTCAATATTACTAACAAAATTGCTAACTGAAAGTTAACATTTGGCTAATTCTTAGTATTTCGATAGGTTTGGATAATATAAAAGAATTTGAAAAAAAGTGTGGATGAAAAAAAGACATTACCCTTATTATTATTATTATTATTATTATTATTCCTAATTCACAGTTGCAACTATTCGTACGTAACCATCTATAGCTAATCGTTCACTTATTATGGTCGAACTCAAACCCAAATGTCGGGGTGTTTACACCAACCCCCGTGATAGGAAGAACAACACCATTAGCCACTTGTAACCGTTGATTAATCGGTTTAAGTGACTTAAAGACACTGCCATGGTTAGTCATATGATGAAAAGCAGCAGAATCAAGAAGCCAACGATGAGGGTTACCTGAACTGGAGTCACCAAAAAATGGCGAACTCATAACTTCCTGGAGGGCTTCATGAATAAGCTGGGTCAGCTCAGACTTGGAGACTCCACCTGTGGAAGAAGAGGCCAACGCAGGAGCTGGGGCACTCATCACCACATAGGCATCAAGAATAGGAGGCAGACCGGACGAGCGAGACTGAGGACGACGACCCCGCTAGCAACATTCGCTAAGAATGTGACCAGCATGCTTACAATAATTGCACCAGTTGCGTTTTTTGCAGAACGGTTGAATATGACCCGGGTCGCGACAATAATGACAGACACGATCGGTAGGCGCCCCTTGGTCACTACTAGAGGAATGAAATCGAGGCTTGTACGAGGAGGCAGCAAAGGCAGCGGCTTGATCAACTGATTGAGCAGAAGCAGAGTCAATCTGAGCCTGACTCTTAAGGCGATGCTCCTCACGATAAAGTTCAGCTAACACAAAGTCCAACTCGGTCATATTCTGATTAAGTAACAAAGCCCGAATGGGCTCATACTCGCGACAGAGCTTCATCAAGAAATGCATAATCCTAGAGCGAGTACGTTCAACTATGGTGGGGGCTGAAGCTAGAGTATCCGAGAGGGACGCAGACAGGAGATCACTCTCACTCCAGAGATGCATCGCAGCTTGA